GACAATCAGTGAAAAATCACTGGCAAGGAGGAGGCATTGCCAGGAGCATCCACGGGAAATTTAAACAGCTCCAGGGTGCGAAAGGGGCTGTTTGAATGGGCGGGTGCTGAGGTAGAGCACAAAACTTAGGGAGTGAGTCATCAACCATCAAACTAAAACAGGAGTAAGTATGCCTTCAACTCAGTCAAAAGCCACTGGAAAAAGAAACTTGATGACCCAGATGGACCTCAGAGAGCAGGAGATAACTGGAGCTGCCCAACCTGCTCCACAAATAAAGAAATTACCGACTAGTTCAACCACAAAAAGTGGAAGGTGGTAGGAGCAGGTGATTCCACTCTAGGAGGTGCAGAGGCACTCAGCTGTCAGCTTGACCCGCTCTCAAGGGAGGTGTGCAGCCTTCCAGGAGCCTGGATCTGGGACATTTCTGAGAAGCTCTAAAACCTACACAAACACAGACTATTACCCACTATTAGTGTTCCATGTGGGAGCCAGTGAAAGAGCTGGCACCACTCTGGGAAGCATTAGGAGGGACTAAGGAGCCCTGGGAGAGATAGTAAAGGGCCCTGGAGTTCAAGTAGCTTCTTCATGAATCCCCCTGGCCAAAGGAGAGGGACTTGAAATTTGCAGACAAATCTGGAAGGTCAACAGATGGCTAGAGCAATGGTGTAGGATCAGGGTTTTGGTTACACAGACTCACAGGACTTGGCTTTGCCTAACCTAGTTTACTGGGGGATGATAGCATCCATTTGACAAAGAAGGAAAAAAGTATCTTTAGTGCCATTACTGGACCTTGCGCTCACCAAGAAGAAGGAGGTGGTGGGGAATGCAGTGCTTCAAGGTAGCCTTGGCTGCAGTGAACAGGAGATGGTGTTTATGACCCTGAGGATACCAAGGTGGGGCACACAGAAAGCTCACTGCCCTGGACTTCAGAAGAGCAGACTTTAGCTTCTCCAAGGACCTCTTTGGTAGAGTTTCATTGGCTAGAGCTCTGGAAGGCAGAAGGGCTCAAGAATGCTGACTGAATTTCAAGGATCACCTCCTCCAAGCATGGGAGCAAGGTACCTCAACCAGGTAGAGATTGGGAAAAAGCATTAGGAGGCCTCTAATGGATAAGGAGCTGCTGTGTAAACTCAAAGCGAAAAAAGATTTCAGAAAGTGGAAACAAGGACAGAGAGCCTGAAAAGAGTGGGAAAACTGTATCAGAAGCTAGGGGCCAGGTTAGAGAAGCCAAGGCCTAGTTAGAATTGTGTCTGGACAGAGATATTAAGGATAACAGGAAGGGCCTCCATTGACACATTGCAAGCAAGAGAAAGACTGAGCTAATGTGGGTCCTTTCCAGAAGGAAAAGGGAGACCTGACTACCCTGGACAAAGAGAAGGCTGGGGTTCCCAAGAACTTCTGTGCCTCTGTCTTCAATGGCAAGTGCTCCAGCCACGCCACCCAAGTCAAGAAAGGCAGATGCAGGGACTGGGAGGATGAAGACCCTGAGTCACCTGTAGGAAAGGACCAGGTTTGAAACCATCTCAAGTTTCAGAATGTGTACAAGTGTACAAGTGGACCTGATAAGGCTCATCCATGGGTCCTCAGGGAGCTGGCAGACAACGTTGTTGAGCCACTTAAAATTTCTTAAGCCATTTCTTAAAAATAATGGCAGTCAGATGAAGTCCCTGATGATGGGAAAAAGAGAAATGTAACCCCCATTTTTAAAAAGGGGAAAGCGAAAGACCTGGGGTATGACTGACCAGTCAGTTTCACCTCTGTGCCAGGCAAGGTCACGGAGCAGGTTCTACTGGAAACTATGCTAAGGCACCTGGCCAACAAAGAGATGACTGGTAACAGGCAAAATGGTTTTACAAGGGGGGAAAACATGTCCAACAAATCTGCTGACCTTCCATGACAGGGCTACAGCATTGGTGGACAGAGGCAGAGGAACTGACATTGCCTAGCTGGACTAAACGCAAAATATTTCACATTCCTGTAAAACATCCTTGTCTCCAGATTGGACAAGCAGGGATTTGATGGATGGACTGCTCTGTGGATAAAGCTGCATATCCACACACCAACAGCTGTGGTCAATGGCCACACATGGAGACCTGTGATGAGTGGTGTCCCTCAGAGATTGTTACTGGAGCTCTTCAATATCTTTACTGACAACATGGACAGGGGGACCAAGTGCACCTTCAGATTTTCTGACAATACCAAGCCCTGTAGTGCAGTAGACACCATGGAGGGAAGGGATAATAACACCCAGGGGCCAATGCAAACCTCATGAAGTTCAACAAAGTGTAAAGTTCTACACCTGGGTCATGGCAATTCCAGACACACCATGGGTTGGGCAGAGACATGATTGAGAGTAGTCCTGCTAAGAAAGACAGGGGGTGGCAGGTCCACATGAGCCAGCTGTGTGTGCTCACAGCCCAGAAAGCCAATCAAATCCTGGGCTGCATCACCAGGAGCGTGGGTCAAAGGAGGTGATTCTGCCCCTCTTCTCTGCTCATGGGAGATCCCACCTGAAGCACTGTGCACGGTTCTGGTGTCTTCAACATAAGAAGGACATGGAGTTGTTGGAGCAAGTCCAAAGGAGGCCACAAAGCTGGTAAGGGCTCCTCCCCTATGAACACAGGTTGAGAAGGTTGGAGCTGTTCAGCCTGGAGAAGGTTGCATGGAGACCTGATGGCAACCTTCCAGTATCTGAAAGTAACCTACAGGGAAGAGAGAGACTCCTTATCAGGAACTGCAACAACAGGACAAGGAGTTGTGGGTACACACTGAAAGAGGGAAAATTGAGGTTAAATATTAGGAAGGATTTTTTTACTGCAAGCGTGGTGAGACACTGGAACAGACTGCCCAGGGAAGCTGTCGATGCCCCATCCCTGGCAGTGTTCAAGGCCAGGTTGGATAAGGCCTTGAGCAACCTGGTCTAGCAGGAAGTGTCCCTACCCATGGCAGGTGGGATTGGTTCTAGATGATCTAGATGATTGGTCCATTCCAACCTCTTAATATTTTGTGAATCTATGAAATAGTAAGCTGTCTTTTGGAACCTCAACTTCTACAGCTCTGAGCTGCAAACAAAAAGAACCCCTCTCTCCCAGGTTATTTCTTCAGAAATGATTAATTAGGAGGTTTCCTGTGCCCTTTATCAGGATATACGATGCAAAACAGAAACTCAATTTTGAAACACAGTTTTCCTTTTTCTTTTTTTCTTTAGACAGTTGGCCTCCCCAAGCCCTATTTCCACACCTACTGCAGAGGAAAGACATCACGCAGGTGTCCAGAGTAAGAGCTCTCATGGCAGAAATGAAAGGTATATTTCTTCCAGCTGTTTGTAACATTTCACAGACATCTCTGGTTGTGTCTGGTAAAACCTTGACACCATGATAGATTACTATCTCCCTAAGCTCCCACATGGTGAAGCTTGTGCTGTTAACTACTAAGGCAGACTTGCATTTCTGCAGCACAGCCAACTTATTATTGTTTCATTGTGCTGGTCCTGTTTTCCCTTCATAAGAACTTTCAAGAAAATTTATGGCTACAGTGGGGGATGAATCTTGCCATGGTTTCATTACACTGTGTTAGACTGTAGGAATGAGCTAGGTGTTTTGTTAGAACTCACCAAGAAGGAACTGAAAAACTACACTGGATGCTGAAGCAGCAAACCCAAAATCCAGTTCCACACCAACATTTCACTCTACAGGCATAGTAAGAGCAGACCAAGAATCCCATCAAGAAGTACACTTCTGCCCCTTGGGAATTCATCTTACTCAGCTGAACAAGGCATAAAGAGTGGTTTTGCTGGCATTCCAGTATCTTTGAGTCACTGCTGGGGACCAGAAAGATATGGTTTGAGCTTATGGCTAAGGGCAGCACTGCAGACACATTGTACTGTAGAAAGAAATTCAGAGTGTATGTTCAAGAGAAAGTTCTTTGCCTGAACTATTAAGCTGCATAATAATGCAATTGTGTTGAACAACAGCCTATAAAATATTCAGTGGATATCTCTTTCACTGACCTGATAAAAATGTAAAGCTTGGGGCTCAGAGCTTCACTGTGACATCTCAACATTTTCCACTAGGAAGCTGATGAAAACTAGTATCAAACAGCAAGTGCTGTCATTACAGCATTCAGAAAAAAACAAAAAAAACCCAAAAGACAACATGATAAAGACTGCTACGACAGCAAATCTCTGCTGGGCAAAGAAAAAGAGAAAAAAAAATACAGCAAAATAGTTGTTTATTCTACACTTTAAATAAAAAGAGCAATTACACCACCAGCAAAAAGGCTTCTCTATACTACAGTGCAAACTAGGATTTAAAAACATAGCCTGCAAATCTCCTCCATCACTCCAACACTGAAGGACCTCACTGAGGCTTTGTTTCAGGCAATCCATATGCAACAAAGCCAGATTCAAGTTTACCATGAGTCCTCAGCAAAGAGCGTGCTAATATCAATAACTGAGTGCTGGCTCAGTTTAGGATTCTGTTCTGAAGCTTTGAGTTGGGCTTTACAACCAGCAAGACTGCGTTTAGACAAAGGCTAAGAGAAAAGTAAAGTGGATGTGCCTCCTTGGTCTGCTACCACTGGCTGTCCAGTTTAGCCCAAGAGCCACAACATATTAATATGCATTATGTATAACGTATGCATAATAAAAAATTATTTGCATGTTTTTGCAAATAAACTCCAATTTCAACTGATTCTTCCAGGAATTTTAAAGCTGTTGCCCATTTCAATCTAACCATGGTATACATGTAGAGGTTCCTTTCAGTAAGACGTGGAAGGCTTAAGCTGGTTTCTATTCGTGGCTACTAGTTGCATCTTCATGGAACATCACACTCCCAAAAAGGCATAGGTCTCTGCACAAGGTCCCTCTGAATCAACCAAAAATAAGGTTGAATAGAACAGGGGAAAGAAAGATTTAAGTTCCATGTAAGTCAAGCCCAAAGTCATCTAAGATGATGAACGCTACCTCTCTGAAGAGGACAAGAATAACACAAGCAGGTCAGTAACTGTGCCTTAACTGAACTTTTTAATGGGGATGGATACAATTAATACATTGTAAGCCAGTTAACAATTTTCATTGAATTCTTAGTATTTTAGTGAATAAATTAACAGTCAGCTGAACAAAACATAATCTCAAGGAAGGAATAAAGATATTACAAGTCCCTTAAGGAGCTCTTCCACTGCTAGTTGCTGTCATCATCAATACAACACCCAAAAACTGTATTGCTATGATTCTTCTGTTTCTCCAAATGCCTCAACTGCAGTACCTGCAGTATTTCCATTACTAACTCATTTAATGACTTATACTCCATTATCAGATGGGCAGCGCTTTGGTAGAGGCGTGGCAAACGATTCTTTGCTTTCTGTCAGTGCTCGTGGCTGATGGACAAAAACACTGAACCTGACACCCTGGTTTGCTGCTGCCCTCACAAACCCACTATTTGCAGTCATGGTGATGGCTTTTAAAGTGTCTCCTGTCCCAAAAATGGCTAGAGAGCGGCTGTTGATTTTTGAGCTAGCCACTAGTCCTAAGGCACGGTCAGAAGGCTGATCTGGGACCACATTAATTCTTTCAACAAGCAATGCAGCTCGCTCTTTCTCCCCAGGTCCTCCCAGTGTTTCCAAGATGGACTGAAAATCTCTGACAGCAGATTCACAGGCAAAGAGCTCTTTTCCCTCCATGAATTCCTTCAGCTGAGGCAGGACTCTCTCCCTTCTTTCTTGGGCTGCTTGCTCTGTCAGCACTTTTTCTTTGAAGACAAAGTAGCAGCCACCATAGCTCAGCGCAGAGACGTAGGTTATTAAGGTAGTGATGTCCAAATTAACTCTATTGCAGACGCTTATTTTGATCTGGGTAGGGAAAGCAATGCTGGCCACTAAATTCTCCCGGTCTACTCTGGTCACCTGCAGGAGCTCAGGGCCTTCTTCATCTGATTCACTGGTGTTAAGATGCTCGTTTTCTGCAGATGGTTCTACCAGTGAGTTCACAGCAACAACGTCCCCTCTCACAGATATTCCCATCTCCTTGAGCCTCTCTGCCATAGGACTGGACACACTGTTGTAGAATGCAAAGATGATGTGGGGATTGCTGTACTCCACTGGCTGCTGACGGCTTGCTTGCAGGAAGTCCTCTGCCTGCTCAATGATGCTTTTGTCACCATACTGGCCTCTTCCCAGCCAGATGTTATGCAGGGCCTCAGCTTTACGACCGATGGCCTTCACCCACGTGTGACCTCCGTTTGCAACGACATCTACCACCAGTGTCTGTTTGTCTCCAAACCTGTCCTCGTAAGCAAAGACATGGAGGACACTGACAACATCCTCCAGGTTCTCTGCTGACTGAATAATGGCTTGGAGGTGGGTAAGGTTTGTACTCTGCAGATGGGATTCTTTAATGGCCACTTTCCCTGCCTCCACCTTGTGTAAGAAATTTAGCTCAGCCTTCAGTTTGCTACATAGCTTTGCCCCACCTTCTATTCTCCTTTTCTGGGACTTGGAAAGGGCTTCTGCTCTCTTAATCAAGTCTTTGGCAACAGCAATTCTTTCACAAAGCAGCGACTGCACAGACATGTTGGAAACATTATTCCTGTCAAGTGAGAACAAAGGAGAAGATTGTTATTGCATGGCCAAGAATAAAGACAGTCAAAAGAGTTCTTTCTAACAGTATACACTTCAGCCTTCCAGTAGACTTCAGTGTAACAGCTACTATAATGCACAAGCAACTGGAACCTCAACACAAAGTCCCGGTGTTGAGTTCAATTACTTTCCTTCACCTTTAGCAATCCAACCTACAGCCTCAAAAGACCCCAGTTCTCAGCTAGGGAGCACTCAAGTCTACACACAGACTTTGCACACTTGTGGTTTCCTTCCACCTGCCACATAAGAGACTCAGCCAGTCACTTAGAGGGATATTAACTCTCACAGCTCATTTGCAAAAGCTGCCATCCAGAGCAAAATTAGCAATACAGCAAATGCCATAAGCAAATCCTGCCTCTCCCTCTCATCACACCCCTAAAATTGAAAGCTATCCACCATGCTTACATACACCCAGCTTTCAACCTGCACTGTTCAACTCAGTGCATGAACCCCTCAGAGGGTGGTGAAGCACTGGGACACACTGCCCAGAGAAGCTGTGGATGCCACATCCCTTAAGTGGTCAGGGTCACAGTCAGGTTAGATGGGGCTTGGAGCAACTTGGTCTAGTAAAAGGCACCACAGTAAACGGTCTCTCAGCCCACAGCACTGCGGTTGGAACTAGATGACCTTTAATGTCCCTTCCAACCCAAACCATTGTATGTTTCTATTACACAGCCTCATGAAGGACTATGATTCATAATATGCTAAAGTTGCTATGTTTTCTAATTCTGCTAAGAGGTTCACTGGATTGCATCAGATAAATCTATTCCTTCACATCTGTATTACTTTAGTAGACCTTCCTTAAGGAAAGCATTGTAAGAATTTCTTTATCGAATACGTGCTTTGAAGATGTAGTATTCGTACTACACCAAACAATAGCATATTTAAAACAGTAACAACTATGAATAGTGAAATTAATAAATTTTGACTCCTGACTACAAGGCAGTACACTGTAATTCTTCCTATAATTCTTACCTAACCCGCATGTTTAAGTAAACTGGTATCAAAGGACAAGATAAATGCAACTCCAACTGAAAAGGAGAAACAGGCTACAGCCTGGTCCTACAACAGGCTCTGCCAGTGCAACTCAGTGGCCTGCCTTCAGACAGTGGGAACTTCCCCGGCCCTACATCCAAGTGGAAACACGGCCAGCATTAAGTGATACTGATCTGGTTCACATCCAGCATCAGCAACATCTCCTCCTGCTTCTTCACATGCCTTCCTGATGCCTTCGACACAACTTACCAAACCTCTTCAACGAGGAGGCCAGAAAAATCAGCCTTTCCACCTCGAAGTCTTTGCCACTGCCACAAGCTTATCCTTGCATGTAACGCAATGACTTAAACCTCACGATTAGTAATTGGGCACCTGTCCCCACAGCAGCTGCGACTCCTACACACCCACACGCTTCAAAACACAGCGTAAATCAAGGGTTGCAGTGACAATAAAAACACAGACGCAACTAGTTTTTCAGAACAAGAACTGCGCGGTGGCGCCACTATCAA